TCGTTAAGTTTTTTTTTTTTTCTTCTTCTTTTTTTCCCCTTCATGTGTGCGCCCAGCTTGGTTTCCTCGGCATAGTGACTCCACTGTGTGGCACCTACCCCCGTATGGACCCCGTTTCATGGCAAGGGAGAAATTCACGCCCCCTAAAGGAAGGGCAAAAATAAATAGTAGCTCAACTTCTCCGAGGTGGTACGAGTTATATCAGCCAATTTGGGATGATTCTCCTGACATAAGAAAAAGGTAGCCGGCTTGTGAGTGTGCCCTTGCTTACACCTCCGCTGCAGAGTGGGTAATCGTTTGAGCATTCCAGGTGGATCTACCACAGCTTGCACGGGGAGTCATTTGCATCTTCCTCCCCCCTCCAGCGGATGTCTTCCTCCGAAGCAAGTGTGTGAACCGAAAGACGCTACGTGGGGAGCCATCTCGCTCTGGCAGTCACATTCAGTTTGCAGAGAGGGTGAACGGAAAAGAAGCGGTGGCGATTGAGGCACGTTCGTAACAGTGGCAATTGCCGCACCTTGCCTAAGGTTGCTTCTTGACCAAATTAGCCGATCCGCGCACGCGCAGTGGCCGCCCCGTCTCTGCCCCATCCGTGCGGATGGAGGACCTCGCGAGGGAGAGGCTCATTGAGAGCGCCAGGAGCCACCACGACATAAAGAACATCAACCTGTACTTAGCGAACATAGAGGAAAACATAATAAGGATTAAAAATGAAGGCGAGAGCATCATCGATGAAGTGTTCCTGGCCTTCAACGGGTCCATTAGCCATATTTCTCTTTACGCTTATCTGTACGACCACAAGGTAAGCGTGAATTTAGATTGCCTGCAGTTTATATATGAGCAGAGTTACATAGAAGAGGAAAAGGTGATCGGAGAGGGGACTAAAGGACAGGAGAGCGTGGTAGACATCGCTAAGTTCGATTCAGATCTGATTCATTACCTGGTGAGCGAGTGTAGAAGCAACTACGACGAGACGACCAACCTGACGACCAAAGAAATTGAGGAGATCATAGGAAATCATAAAAATAGAATCTTCGAGGAATCCATAAGTGTGTACAAGGAGAAGTATGGAGATGCGATAAAAGTATTCAACTGCTTTGTCGATTTGAGTCACTTCTTCTATGATGAGAAAAAGATCAAGTTCATAAAAAAAAAAAAAACGGATTTTGTAGAGAATTACAATAACTACATAGATGCAAACACTGAGGTGGAGTTTTACGAGTTAAAATATCACCTTCTGACGAAGAAAGCCAAGGGGCATAGCTCCGTTCTGTTTTGGTCGGACGCTTTAAACGAGATCCACATTAAGAACAAGACAATCATAACATCTGTAGACGCCATTAAGCTAACGAACACGGGACACCAGCATGTGATCGGCATTCTTGGGCTCAACCGCGATGGCGATATGGTCATCCAGGGCATACGTAACGAGATAAAGCTCTTCCTTACCCGGGAGTGCATGATAAACCACGGGCTGTACTGCATTGGCCATGTCATCCTCGTGCAGGGCCGCATGCGCCTCGCCAACAAGACCTTCTACGCCGCGGAGATCATGCACCCCCCCAGGTAGGCCCGGCCAACCGTTCGATGCGGGCGTAGCATCGGGATTAGCGGCTTCCCAGACTGAACGGTGCCCCGATTAAACGCTTCCCCGATTTATCGCTTCCCCGATTTATCGCTTCCCCGATTTATCGCTTCCCCGATTTATCGCTTCCCCCCGTTAGAAACTTCGAAGAGGAGCGGAACGAAGAAGACATGTTCTACGATTTCGAAAACGAAAAGCAGAAAAAAGAAGTGGAGGAGTACGAAATCATCGTGCGAAAAAACGACAAGAAAAAAAACTGGATCATCATGCACGACGTGTATCTAGACAATCCCTACACATTTGAAGTCCTCGATAAGATGTTCTCTCTGTACGTCAATACCTATCCGGAAAATGAGCTCCCTGTGGGATTCATCTTCATGGGAGATTTCATAAGCCTCAAATTTGATTTCAACCGAAACTTTCACAATGTGTACATAAAGGGGTTTGAGAAGCTGTCCGTGATGCTCATATCGAAATTCAAACTGATCTTGGAGGAGTGCTATTTGATCTTCATTCCGGGAAAAAACGACCCATGTGCATGCAAGAATAGCGTGCCGCAGATGCCTATCCTACCATACTATGTTAGGAAGTTTAATCAAAATATAGAATCCTTCTTCTCGTCAAAAAAGAAAATAATCTTTGCTACGAACCCGTGTAGAATTCGTCACTTCAACAAAAAAATGATCTTCTTTCGACACGACATTTTAAATGACTTAATATGGAGCGCCACTATTAACGCATCTAACAATGAGAAGAATAACCTGCAAAACATTTTCGTGTCTACCATCGTGGGACAAAGTCATATTTATCCAATCCCTCATGACAACAGGATTCTGAAGAGGTACTCTTCTTTCCTTTTCCTCTATCCTCTTCCTCACTTTATCTGCATTTCGGACAACACGTGTAACAGCTTCATTTCGTATGCCTCTGAGGACACCCGCGATGCGATCATTTCCAACTCGGACATGTCCTTCACGCGCAAGAAGACCTTCACCGTTTATAACGTCCTGCAGCACGAGGCCAAGCGGTATGTCGTCCCGCTCTGACCCGTAATCGATGGGTAGCGGTAGTGGTAGCGCTAGCGGTGGGGGTAGAGGAAGTGGTAGCGCTAGCGGCAGTGGTAGCGGTTTTTTTTCTCTCCCTTTTACCACTCGGAGGGGCTTCTCCACACGGATAACTCCACACAGCTCAGTCGTAGTGGTAGACCTTCGCGCGCGATTTGATGTAGCTCCACACCCGACTGCCCTCCACGAAGTTGCTCTGGGCCACGATGATCAGCTGGCTCCTCGCCCTGCTCAGCGCCACGTTTATGCGGTTGCTGTTCTCGTAGAAGGCCTGGAAGGAGTCCTCGCGGCAGTCAGCGGCATTTGCGGCATTGACCAAATTGGCGCCATTGGGGGGGTGATCGCTTCCACCACTTCCAACACTTCCAACGCGTCCAACGCCGCCCATTCCGCCATTGCCGCCTACCCTGCCCAGGACGCAGGAAAACAGGATAATGTCCTTCTCGATGCCCTGGAAGGAGTCCACCGTGCCGACCTTCACATTTCGGAGGCGCGCGTAATTAGCAGATGCCTTCATCTTATTTTTAATATAAAGCGTCTGATTTTTGAAGAGGGAGATTATTCCTATTTGTTCAGGATCGATGCAAGACCGGATCATGTTCTCACAGATCCTCAAAATGATGGTCGCCTCCACTTCGTTGGTAAAGGACGAGCCAGAGGTCATCTCCCGAGGTGCCTTTCTCAATAAAATGAAATTAACATGAGATTCGTATCGCTTGTACATGAGTGGTATCGTCTCTGTGCATTTTGCATTTTTTATTTTACCATTGTAGAAGAGGTAACTGCATATGGAGCTGATCTCAGGGTGGCATCTGAACTGCTCATTCATAAGGATGAGATGGTTGATGCCTGGACGGGGTGGTGCTTTTTCGAAGGGGTTGTCTGGACACTTTGGGGTTCGTGGCGTATGCTTTTCCATTTTCACCTCATCCCCTTCACATGCATCGCGCCCGTCCCCCCCATGCAGAGCGAACATGTGATCGTACAGGTAACTCCTCATGGCGGAGTATTCCGCCGCGCTCATGCTTCTCACTCGGTTCACGATCCGGTCGATGGGCAACTCGTCCGCAACAGCAGCGCATGTGTCACCTGCGTCATCCGCACCATCCGCACCTGCGGCATGATCCGCTTCGCCCCTCGCTAGGACGTCTACTCCCGCCAGGTGATGCCTTATAAACAACTCATTCTCCACCAAACGCGAAAACATACTCCTCGTCAAATCGCTGGGACTCTTCAGAACAAAACCCAACTGCTTCACATCTCCAATGAGAAGGAATTTTCTTATTTCAAATTTGAGGAGAAATTGAAACAGAGTCAGCTCTTCTATCTGGGTGCACTCATCCACGATTAGGTAGTCAATGTTGTCCTTTATTGCACTTAGTTTTTCAAATATCTGGAGACTTCTACATGTACCTGCTATGAGTCGTTTGTTTTTGTATTTGTTTCTGAGGACGAATTGATTCCTCTTCCTCAGCGCATCAACAAGCGTGTCCATGTCTTTGATTTTGTGCAACTTTGGTTCGGGCGGCGGGGAAGCGCTCCCGCTGGCGCAGGGGTGACCACTACTAGCGGTGGGGGCAGCACTGGTGGAGGGGCCGCTGGCCGAGCGGGCAAGGCTCTGCACGTAGTTCTTCACCTCGATGGGCTGCCTCTGGTCCTTTGAGTTTATACTAATAAAATTTGTTATTAAGAAAAAATTGATTTCGAAGAGATTTCCAATTCTGGCATAATCGTGAAAGTCAAAGTGGAACTTGAGCTTCAGTAGGATGTTGTCTACTGCGAGGTTTGTATGACACATGAGGAGTATCTTCTTCTTGTATTGGCTGGGCCTTCGGTGGTTTATTTGCCTGGTGGGGCGGCTCGTCCTGCCCGAACTTCTCTCATCGCTTCCGCCACTTTGGTTGCTTCCCTGACCGCTCCCGGTGCTTCCCTGACCATTGCCGCCGCTGCCCTGACCGCTTCCCTGGCCGCTTCCCTCCCCTCTTGCGGCTTTCCCCCCCTTTGCGCCGCGCTCTTCACGGGTCAACACCTTGTGTAAGTAAGATATGGCATTGCAGATGAGGGTGCTCTTTCCCGAGCCGAATATGCCGTTCACGAGGATGCTGTCTCCGCGGTGCGTGACGGTTCCGCTGGGGCCTCCTTCAGTGGGGGTGCCACTTCCGTCCCGAGTGGGTAGCGGCAGCTGGTCTTCGCTTCGTTCGCCGGAGGAGGTGGTTTCCGCCGTTTCGAAATTCTCCTGCGTCTCCTGCTTTATCCGCTTTTCTTGCTTCTCCCCTTTCATCCGCTTTTCCCGCTTCTCCCGTTTCATCGGCTTTTTCCGCTTCTCCCGTTTCATCCGCTTTTCCCGCTTCCCCTTCTGTTGCTCCTGGCCCCCGCATCGGAACCAGGCCAAGACACACTGGATGACCCACTTCTGCCTCCCGTTCAGCTGTCCGTCCTTCCTGAGCCTGTTAAGAAGGCGACGGACGTAGTCCACCCCCACGTTGTGCAACTCGATGAGCTCGGAAGAAGATTCCCACGCAGAGGTCCTGATGCCGATCTGCCGCAGCAGCCCATCCAGGTGTAGTGTCTCACTTCGGTGCACAGACGGGGAGCGGAACAGCCTACTCAGCGGAACCTTCCCTCTTTCCAAATTTTGAAGAAAAAAAAAAAGGTGTTTTAGATTATCCAGGTGATCCCCCAGATTCACTAAAAAGAGACAAAAAGGAAAAATCTTAATTTTGTAATTTTTGAGAAAATGGTGGAACTCCTTTGATTTGATATTCTCCTGGACGTCGAAGGTCTCATTCATGTGGGAAAAGGTGCTCACGTTCAGAGGGTATACTTCTAGATGATTCTGTTTGAAGGAGCTCCACTTGGGGACAAAGAGGAGGAAGTCTTCCTCTTTCACCCAAGGGGGGGATGAGGCGGATGAGGAGGAAGCGATGGATCTGTAGGATGCGTCGGCTTCGGAGATGCCTCTCCTCATGACGATCAGATGATTCATGTGGACATACTTATTTATTTCTTCTTCTTTTCTCAGTCTTTTTGATTCTTTTTTATTCACAAGTAGGACTTCCCTTTCGGTTCTTCTGAGGAAGAATCTCTTCCCTTTGGTACCAGACCCAGTAACGAATCCATTTGGAAATCTCCTCTCTTGTTTATTACCCCCAAATATAGTCCTGTTTTCTTCCTGCGAGCTACATATCACTTCTACGTTTTGAAGAACCAGGGCGTAGTCATCCTCCGAGTGGTACTTGCTCCGCTTGTTGTCCCCCCCATTTGGGTCATTAGATTGGATGGCTGGACTATCAGTAGCGAGACCCCCTCCAGTAGGGACGACCATACCACTTCTCCACTGAACAGATTGCCCCTTTATATAAGTCCCCCTCATCTGCCCTAGAAGGGGTACCAAGAAATCATGTAGACAGAGCAATTTACACTGCATTTGATAGTAAATCTGAAAAAGAGTGGCATTCATAAAGGAGTGAATATATTCTGATTTGTTCAGAAAAAAATTGGGGATACTCTGGAACTTTATGTTTTGTACTCTCTTTTTCATCTCTTCCTTTTCTTTTAAGATGGTGATATATATCGGTAGGAATAAGTTTTCTCTGCACACTTGATCAATCTTGGAGGCAGTGAACCCGCTGTTTGTGCATGCAAAGTTGCTAAGACTTCTTATTTCGTACGGGTTCGGGTGGGCGCCTTCTATGGTCGATTCGGAATTTCGTACCTCCTCCAAGCAGTTCGTCTGGAAGTTGATTTGTGGGATCACATCTGGGATCACATCTGGGATCACATCAGAGATCACATCTGGGATTACATCGGGAATCACATCGGGGGTCACATCTGGGATCACATCTGGGATCACATCAGGGATCACATCTGGGATCACATCTGGGATTACATCAGGGATCACATCTGGGATCACATCGGGGGTCACATCTGGGATTACATCGGGGGTCACATCTGGGATTACATCGGGGGTCACATCTGGGATCACATCTGGGATCACATCAGGGATCACATCTGGGATCACATCGGGGATCACATCTGGG